CCCAGTAGTACCCTTTCTCCCTTTTTATTTGGGGCTCTCCTTATTGAAATTGAATATTAGGCAAAAGGTACCCTTGTTATTAAGGGGTTGCCGGGGAACCTAGTTCTTGTAAAGTTTATCATTTTAGGGTAGGGCACCTCAATTACATTGATACCCGTGTAGGCCCCTTCACTACAAACATTGGTATAACCACCGGAGAACTCCCCCCAAGCCCTACACCCTAAACCCTAAACACCTCAAAGCCCTATTCACCCTTAACCCGAAAGCCTAAACCCTAAATTGCCAAACCCAGAGGTACGCCTTCGGCATCGGCACGTCGGTCGCCGTTTTCGTTTTCAGCTCCTCGGCTCCACGGGATTTTCTTTGCTAAGTAGAAAGTGATTGCAGCTCAACAGTTGAGTCTGTCTCCGTTCTTTGATGGTCATATTTAATCCCAAGAAGTAATGCAACGCCATACTTCGAAGCCAATAAAAGATAGGCCTCTGCTAGCGGGCCGCAGTCTTGAGACAAACCTTTGTAGGTCTAGCGTGTATGGGGTATGTTGCGGTAGGGTTGAGGCTTGGCGGCCTAGTTTGTTTCTCAAAACAACCCCCTATATGTTTGTTACCAGGCCCCCTGTAGAAGTTTCAGAATCCTTTCCCCCTACTATTGAACCCTTTTAAAGTTCGAGAACAAGCTCAGGGGCCTAAACATCCGGAAGAACATTTTGAAAAGGGCAAGACGATTCAAAAGGGGCCCCTTGTAATGAATTGGGGCGGTTCTGGAGTTATCAGTTAAGTACCCAACCGAGGGAATTATTACGTCATCTGAATTGGTTAAGTGTTTAATTATTGATTAATGTTATTAAGCTAGCTGAATTCATCAACTGTGGATTTCCCATGGAGTTTAAAAGGAATTCAGAGGCTGCCCTATCTGATTCTTTCAATAAATATTCCTCCGAATACTGAATATTTTCCGGGCCCCGAAATACATTTTTTATATTACGAGGGGGCGGGGTGTGGTGGACGTCGCTTAATATTAGGAGGAAGCGGTTATGTTAATGTCTCTAGGGCCTTATCCGGATACCCTTTCCTTTTCAAGACCCCAATCCCGCAACCCTAAGCCC